GGGGTTGGGTAGAGGAGACTCAGATGAACCTAGGGTGTTAATTTGAGACTATTTGGCATACTTTGGGTCTTGGCCGGAAAATATTCAGACTGAGATTCGACCAATTCGAGGCAGATTCGAGAAAAACCAACCGGGGATTTGGATAGGGGGAGGGGAAAGGGACCTAGGGTGTTAATTTGGACCGGTTTGGGAGAAGTGGTGTCATGGCCGGAAAAGTTTAGATGGAATATTCGACGAGATTGGCTATGATTCGACGGGAGCTGAGGGTATGGTTGGAAAAAGGGGAGAACAGTGGTTCTAGGGTGTAATTTTGGTGGCCATCGGAGCATCGCCGCCGGCGGCGGCGCTAGGGCGGAAGACGGTGGCAGATGGTGGGGTGTCGGTGGCGTTACAGGGAGTACGAGGAAGATGGATTGTGTTTTGGTTTTTTGTATAATATTCGGACAGTTATATTTAATTTTGAGAACCAATCGTGGCCATTGGATTTGGGGGAACGGACGGTCATGATTAAACGACGTCAAAACGACGTCGTTTTGAGTATGGGGGCAATTGGACCGGGCAGGGCGTTTGGGCCAGTGGTTTGGTCCGGTTTTGGGGGGTTTTTTGGGGTGATTGGGATTCTTTTGGGCTGGGTAAAAATGTAACCAAACGGCCCAAAACTGAGTATTATTAAAGCACCCTCTCTTAGATTGTTTTTTTTTTCTTTTATTTCTTTTATCTAATTTTCCCTTTCTTTTTTTTTGTATTTATTATTTTTTTTCACCTTGTATTTTTGTGTTATTTTGATTTTATAAAGATGCAAAAAATAAAAATAAAAATTAAGCTAAACTAATTAATGCCTAAAATTACTTTAAAACTATTTTGTGCCCATTTTTCAATTAAACAATAACATGCAAAAGTGAACTATTTTTGTGATTTTCATGTTTCGTTCTAAAACAAATTAATACCTAAAAAATGTGAAATTAAACTCCTAAATGCAAATGCATATTTTTTGTATTTTTATTATGAATTATCATGCACAAATAAAATGCAAACAATTACTACAACATGTCACAAAATTCCACCAAATTGCAAAATAATGAAAGAAATCATTTTGTTTGAATTTCTGGGAGTAATTCACATAGGGCAAAAATCACGTGCTCACAATACGTACTATTAGAAAAAAAATCGGCTATTATTTTTTGGAACGACTAAAACCATAGTACATTTCTCTAAATTATTGTTCCTTTGGTGAAATTAAAATAATTTCCCACCACTAAAGCCAACCACCGTGGCGGCTTTTGTAATGGGGAAATGGGAACGCAAATAAGGCAAACCAACTAACTGATTGTCTTACTCCCATCATTACACCTACGGCGCAGTGTAGTTTTTTTAGCGGCTACAGTTCCCCTCACCCCAATCCCCGCCTATTTATTTCCCTTCATATTCAATTCATTGCTGCAGCAACAATTTCAGTTGCAGAGTAAGTTCGAGACAATCTCTGCCTTTTTTCAGATCCTAATATGTACTATTTTCTCCTGGCCAATTTAAAGAGTTGAAGCTAAGCTTCATTTTCTAGGTACTTTTTCAGATCCAATTATTCACTTTTTCCTCAACTCAATTGCATCTGGACTCTGGATTGAACTATGTAAATTATCAGTAATTTTGATTATCTTTGCTTCATTTTCACTTAGACTGATGATTATGCTTTTTATATTAGCGGAATTTGTTTTTATCGCTTTTTTTACCTCCGGAAACTTGTTTAGTTTGTTGTGAAGTGTATTTCTGTGATGGTATAATTTTTATTAAATAAGTGGTGTCTCAGTCAGCTTGCACGCACTAGGTTAGGGGGGGGGGGGGGGGGAAACGGGATTCACCCGTAAATTATGTTGTACATATAAGGCAAAATCTATTTTGTAGCTCTATATATTATATTTTGAATCCCTTTGATACTGACCCAGAAGTATAGCTTAGTGATCAAGGGGTTCAAAACCTTTGTGAGTTCGCTGGTTCAATTCCCATTGGCCACACAATCTCGAAATCCCGCCACGGGCTACAAGCACCGGGTAACTTTGCCACATGGTCAGATGGGAAGAAATCACATACTAATATTTTTTTGCATCCGTAGAAATTTGGACTACTCTTACTTCATTGACCACTAGGCCACATAAATTAGGTGCAATTTGGAACAATTTTTATCAAACAGTTGGGCTCTTACAGTGAACTTCTGTTTTTCTCTCTCTGAATTCTTTTATTCTGCCTGAAAAGTATCATCATTTTTATAAGACCAGACATTTATGTGTGGATAGGATCAAGAACTTAATGTGACGAAAACTTAGGTATTTTAGTAGGAGTAAGGTAGAGTGCACCCATACTTCTCCGAATTTCCGACCAGTTCTTAAATCTCAATTGAGGTTTTAAGCTTTTTCTGATAGCTTCTTGTAATCCAGCAGCTTTGTTTTCCGTTGTGCAAGTAGTAAATTCTACTGCACAAATTTGGACTAAGTTGAGATCCTATGGAGAAACTCGTGTTTCAAAATGGTGTAAAGAAGGATCAGTTGCTTTCTGCGACAAATGATGACCATGGTGGAGTTATAGTGGAATTGAAGGAGCCTATGGACTCCACTGTCTTCCAAAACATGCTTAAAGCTTCATTATCCAAGTGGAAGTTGCAGGTATGCTGCCTTTTTTCGCAGTTTTGAGTAAAGATGAGCATTATCTTGATGTTGACTGTCCACCTTTTTTAAGCTTCCCACTGAATTATGCTTGAGAAATAAAAAAACCAAATTTTTTGTTTGTCCATTATTCGTTGATGTATGTGTTATGCTACATGTTTCCCCTTCTTACTGGCATTTCGTATTGTTCAAAGTTCAGTCACCATTGTGTTTGTGGTTGATTGTATAAAATGAGAAGCTTCTGTTGACAGCAATGGCGGTACAAACTTAATAAGGCCTGATAAATTGACTCAATAGTTTTCCTGTTTTGCTGACAAGACTATAGCAGTTTCCATAAGAACTAGGTGCCTGGCTTCTTTTATGGCTGTTCGACAGTCTTCGACTTGCATGATATTATAACCTCTTGCAGTGTCGCATAAAGTGAGCTGTGTAGCAAGAATAGCTGTGTAAATACAGTGTTTAAGGTAGCGGACTAGTATTTCGTCTCTCAGTTCTTTTCTTCTAGTTTGACATTATATATTTTGCAGGGAAAGAAGGGTGTTTGGATTAAAGTGCCAATTGAACTTGTAAATTTGGTTGAAACTGCAGTTAAGGTAATTTCTCTATACTTTTTTGGAACTTGAATAGGATAGTGTTGACATTGACGCAAGGAGGTTCTTTTGATTCCATTTTGCACACGTAAACGTGTCCTAGACTTGCTACTCTAACTAGAGGCTTAAAATCTGTACCATGTCAATCTTTTTTTTCAGACAAAAAAAATTGCTAATAAAGCCAAAACCATTGATTTATGGCATTGTGATATATCATGTTGTTGTTTAAGATGTTGCTTGAACTTGGAAGTTGAAATTAGAGAATCACCCTTGACTCTGAACATAACTTTTTCAATAGAATCTACTATGAGAAACTACTTAACAACATCGTTTAACAAACTCAGGTTCTTAATTACCTCATATCATACTTTAGGTTGAGAAAAAGATATCAATGGCTTTGCGATGAAACTGATCCAAATGTGTGACATTGACCACAGGAAGGGTTTTGGTATCATCATGCAGAACCTCATTACCTGATGCTTGTGTATTGGATTCCTGAAACTGAGAATACCATCCCAGCAAATGCCTCACACCGCGTGGGTATTGGCGCTATAGTCTTAAATGAGAAAAGAGAGGTAACTCAGACTTCAGAGCTACTTCCATTATATGTAATTATTTGCTACTGTTCTGGTTTTGTATCCATGTAAAGGGAAGAATAATGTTTTCGTCTGTGATTGTTCTGCTTTCCTTTGTATCTTATTCCCTGATTGACTGATTACACTTCTGTTACTTTAAAGTGGTATATATAGCATGGACTCAGTGCTTCAATTGGCTTTCCATGATGATTAATGGTTGATTTCAACCAATTAACTAGACTCTATCTGTCATGATGGAGCCGGGGCTCATTTTCATATCACGCCTATGAAAAAAGCTTTTGTACACTTCAAGTCATTCTACTGAAATTTGGAGTCTCCGCTAACAACTGGCCCTTCTGATGCAATTTCACTTTTTAATGTGTGGAAAACACTAACTTTTTTACTTGTCACTTGCTACATACTGGTGTATTTACTGATGTATTAGAGACCTTTGTGTGTAAATAGTTTGATTGCACATTAAGTTTGCAATGAAGGAAACATATTTTCATCATTAGATATATTTCTTTTGTCTCAGACCACTATGCTTGAGCATCTTGGTTCTGACTATTTACAGGATTCACAATTTTCCAGTCTAAATTTGGGAAATCTTTTGCTTTTAGTTGCTTGTTGTCCAAGAAAATAGCGGCAGATTAAAGGGAACTGCAGTATGGAAGATCCCTACTGGCATTGTTGAGGAGGTATGCACATTAGCTGGAGCTAAATTCAGCAGCAAAAGTTAGTTGTATGCCCTCTAAACTGTATGTTGAGCTTTTATTCTGCAGGGTGAGGATATATTTGAAGGTGCAACAAGGGAAGTAAAAGAAGAAACAGGAGTAAGTTTGTTGTCTATTGAAAGCTACATAATGTGTTATTTTCCTGCTGTACATTTGACGGGTATTGCTTCTCTGATATTTGCTGTGTTTCATTTATTGCAGATTGATACTGAATTTCTTGAAGTGCTTGCATTTAGGTAGGGAACTCGTGCCATGTTAATTTGATTATCATAGTATGAAGGAGGACATTCGATTCTAAATGAAGTAGACGTTTTGCCTATATTAGATAAAAGATTAGTTTCCCCGATATGTCTTTTGGAATTTCTTGCTGATTATATTGAACAGTTGACAAAGGAGGAAAAGTTATTTAAACGGGAAGTAGCATTTTGAACGACTGGAGTACTGCTGTGTAAATCTTTCTTCTCATATTCAAAACCTAGAAAATTTTGCTCAATGTCTGCATTTCTGCAGCAATAACATTTCTTATCAACAGGCAAACACACAAGGCGCTGTTTGGAAAGTCAGACTTATTCTTCATTTGCATGATGCGCCCTTTATCATTTGACATTCAAAAGCAAGATTTAGAAATTGAGGCAGCACAGGTTTGTCAAGTTCAATTGTACAAATTTGTAACAATATTCGCCAGTGTTATTAAAAGCCATCACTTCATCGCTTTAAGCGATGAAGCGATGCAAGGCAAGAGGTTATCGCTTCATGGGTGAAACGATGAGCACAAAGTGAAGCAGCCAGTACTTTGACTCTCAACTTTGAGGGGTTGGACTAATATCAGCATATTGTAGTAGTGAATACTGAAATTAGTTATTCTAACTGTAGTTTAATTATTATAGTACTAAAATTGTTTGGTATTTTTTTGTTTTTCCATAAATTTTGAGCTTCATTTCAAAGAAGAGTGCACTTCACTTCGTGCTTTTCGCACCAAATCCCGTGGACCTTGTCGTTTTTTTCCCCACACTTTTTGCTTTTAAAAACACCGATACTCTCTTAACATGGTACTACTGTCTTGTAGTGGATGCCGCTTGAAGAGTATGCAGCTCAACCTTTTGTTCAGAAACATGGCATTTTCAAGTACACCAAAGATTTATGCTTGGCAAAGGCAGAAAGTGGTTACCCTGGGTTTACTCCTGTGCCGATAGCATCATTTTTTGATGGTAGTACGAGTTTCCTGTATTTCAACAAGGATGGTCTGGATCAGGAAAGCTCTGCAATTCATCTCTGAAGGAAGGATCTATTGGTACTTGAATTCTTGTAACTCTTTTGATCTTATTCATAAGTTAATATTTTTTATAGCAATTGTTTTGATTTCCTATATGCATATATTAATAATCTGCAATTTCCGATATCTTTATGTCATGTTATCTACACGTTGCACGGAAGAAAAAGATCTATATGGACACCACCAATTAGTTTGATACATTGGTCATGCTAATATCTACTTTAAGTCCTATATTTTTTAGTAGTCTTATAGTCCTTCCATAGATTTTTATGCCAGTGAAGATATAGAGAATCTTTAGTCCTTTTTATGCACGGCTTCAACTTACCGAGAACGTGGTCCTTGATAGGAGGGTGTGGAGGCTGAGCATTAGGGTAGAAGGTTAGTAGGTAGTCGAGCGTATTTCTGTTCTGTACCGATAAGTTTTAGGGTTAGTCTGGTAGTTTGTCTTGTCTTAGATTGCTAGTAGCTCATGTTGTTTTCCTATTATCTTTCACCTCGGTTTCTTAGTATTTTGTTGTTGTTACAACTTATTGCTACTGTTTCCTTTTGTTGTTATTATCTTTCTGGCCTTCTTTGTTGATATTGCTTGTGTCTACTGTTTCTTTTCATCTTTCTTGGGCCGACGGTCTATTCGAAACAGCCTCTCTACCTTCCGAGGATAGGGGTAAGGTTTGCGTACACACTACCTTCCCCATACCCCACTTGTAAGATTTCACTGGGTTGTTGTTGTTGTTGTTTGGCTCTTTTTATAAATGGAGAAACATGGTAAGTGAAAGACAACCTTGTTCTTCACTTTATCAAGACGAGAATCATGTCTTGTCTAATCTTTCAAATACCATTCGCCTTTTTCTCTGTCGACCAACAAAACAACGAATCGGCAGATACCCTTTAGCTAGCACATGAGAGAGAGAGATTCTTGATGTGGGACTTGTACAGTTGTACGTTGTGGAATAAGGCATAACTTGCTGGAAGGAAAAAGCTAGTGGTGTCCTTTGCCTGTTTGCGATGGCAAAGACAAAAAGGAGCAACGCACTTTCTCTTGTTTTAGCCCATGCTACGTAGAGGGTGTGAGTCAGCCATAGAGGCTTTACGCTCTTGTTCTCAGTTACACATAAGTCACAAAGGGAAAAGGTCCAAAGTTGCCTATGTACTATTTGGAATTGCTCAACTTTGCCCTCTGTTTTGGTCCTAGGCGGATCCAGGATTGAGTTCAACTTTTAAAGTTTCTATCTTTGAACCCATTACATTTTTAAAGTTATGGGTTCATTTTTACTATATTTGCAATTTTAATGAATTTTACATATAAATTTTACTCCGCATCGAAAGTTATGGACTCAATTGAACTCGTCGCTAAACTACATCCGCCTCTGGGTTTGATCCATTCGTACCCTTACTGTTAATAACTCGTCTCGTATTTGCCCTTGCGATAAACGGAGCTCCAGTTTAAAGTGGGTGGACAATTGGACATCAGTCGTCACGTATCCAAAAAATGATTCACGTAAAATGGCTCCTTTATTGGATGAAATTAAGTTGTTTCTTAATGTCTCATTGGCGATTAAGAGGGTGTTTGGCTAAGCTTATAAGCTGGTCAAACTGGCTTATAAGCACTTTTTGGTTTATCTACGCGTTTGGTAAAATTAAAAGTGCTTATAAGTTAAGTGCTTATAAGCCAAAAATAAGCCAAAAGCCATAAGTTGGTCTCCCCCAACTTATCAAATTTCAGCTTATAAAGCAGTTTAAGTTTGACCAAAATATTTACTATTCTATCCCTAAAATACTTCTTTTTAAAACAAAACTCTTCGTATACCCAGTTCTTTAGCTGCATATTATTAATTTCAGCACTTTTATTCAAACATGTAACTGCTTATTTTTTAAATCAGCTTCAGCACTTAAAAATGCTGAAATGCTTATCAGCTACTCTAAATCAGCTAAGCCAAACGGGCTCTAAATAAGCCGCGATTCTATCGAAAGAGACCGGTGAGATAGATAAAGCTATTTTGAGGCGAACATAAAAACCAAGTACTGGTTGTCTCATTCAAGGGGCAGTGAGTAATCACCACAATTTTCAAAATTGGACCACTGAAATTTGTTAGTTGTCAAAGTCACAGGCAACGGTGCCTAAGCTATCTATCACTCCAGTTGTCCACTACATAGCCAAAAATAGAAGACAAATTTTTTACCTTTTGGATTAATGGAACAAGGTGTAATACATCACATGAATACTATGTAGGCGTTGAGAACCTTTCACTCTTAATCAAATGTTTTGAGTTTGAGTGATGATAATACAAAACTTATGCTCAATGGGAAGCATTTTAGTTCATAGTGGATAGACCCTGACACAAATTCGAATTAATCAAATTAGTGAGTACCGATTGAGATCCCTTCACTACTCTTTAATCAGATGTTTCGGATTACAATCTTGTGATAAAAAAACTTCTCGATAGGAAGGTCTTTACGTCATAATTGGTTAATCCGGCTCTAATTCAAATTGATCACAGAAAATTACACCTATGATCTTGGAAATGAGTGGTCTTGATTTTTTCACCTCGCTTGCCTCATGGGCAAATTTTTAAGGGTCTGTTTGGAAAGCTACCAGGTAATTGGAATTGGTGTAATTATTAGGGTAGTAATTACACAACCTAGTAATTATACAGTTGTGTAATTACGATAACCTGTTTGTTTGTCATGATGTAATTACAGTGTAATTGCAAGTTTACTGTTTGGTTGCACAAGTGTAATTACACAGTTAGATTAAATTTTAAATTAAGTAATTATCAAAACATAAAGGTTAATATATAAATATATGCCTATAAATTTTTATAAGTATATTATTAATACCCCTCACATTCCAAATCAACCACTTCATTTATTAATTTCTGTATTCCCCACCTCTATCATGGGGTAGGTTTTTGGTACCACTAGTACTTGGAGACCCTCTTTCTGAGCTATTTCTGCTAGAGTGTGGAGTCAGCATAGGGAAGTTTTCCAGATTGAACTTTATTACACTTTTCCTTCTGTCTGTCATCTCTTTGCTATTGTTCCCCTTATCTCTATCTGCCTGCTGTAGTATAGTCTGCACTTCTTCCTGTTGTAATCCAATTTTCTCAACAGTAGCTTTGTGAGGTTCTTCAATTGGCTTTGTTATTCCCTCTAATGTCCCTTCTGCATTATCCTGCTTGTCAGTTCTGGCCTCTTGTGCTATAGGTCCTTTTGTTCTCCATTCATATGTAACCTTCTTNTTGTGGCTTGCCTAGCTTCTACGAGTAGGCGCCATCACGACCCCCGAGGGTGAGAAATTCGGGTTGTGGCATTTAGTAATTATATATATATATATATATATATATATATATATATATATATATATATATATATATATATATATATATATATATTCAAAATTCAAATTAATAATATTTAGTTTAGATACTTACGAAAACTAAAAATATACGTTTTGTAAGAACGTCATGAATTCATGTTTGATAAAATAAATTAATATTTATAAATATAATGCCATAACACTATTCAAATATTTGACAAAACTAATCTATCAATTCTAACTAAAAATAAAACAACATGCAATGTGAGCCAATACTACTAAAACAAGTAAATTAGAACCATGAATATAACAAAATTTCAAAATTAAAAAAAAAATAAAATAGTTTAACATATGTCAAATTCCGACATAACAATAGTAAGTTCCACTACTTAAGATTAGGAAACATAATAAGTTTATAACCACATTAATTCAACAACAAAATTTCACTTTAATTGCATCAATCACTATTTGCCAAGTTTGTTAATTTGACTCATTATTTTTAATACTAGGAGGTGTGGTTTCAAAAAATAGAATAATAAAAAATAAAATATAAGCAATAACATGCAATCACAAAAAGTAAAGATAAATAAAAGATAAATAATGTACAAAGAAAAATATATTTTGAAATTTCAAAAGAAATTTAAAAGTAAAACTAAAATTAAAAATTAAAATAATAGAAATAAAAAGTTATAAAGAAAAAAAAATTAAAACAAAAACAAAAATAAAAGAAACTAAAAAGCAACCTTGTAATTACACAGTATAATTACCATCAATTCTCACCTCCCCTTGAGAATTGGAGAGTGTAATTACACCCAATTCCATACTGACCAAGTAATTACTTGACCAAACAAACATGTCAAACTTTATAAATACACCGATTACCCAAATCTATTTCCAATGTGGCTTTTCAAACAAGCTCTAAGGTAAAAATAAAAAATGAAGCAAGCGAGAGGCAACTTGTTAAATTTGATGTTCTGTCCATGAGCCAAGCGGGGTAAAAGATTAAAATCACCTACTTCCAAGGCTATTCTTGCAAATCACCCAATTAATCAAACGAATAAATTCACATACCTAATCATTAGACTAAACAATGGAAATTTAAAAGGGACGACAAAATGGCAGCTGAAAACAGTTAAAATATCATGGTATAGCCAGTTTTCACGCTGGTCAATGAAAAATAGCCAGCGTTTATCAAGTCAATGAAAAATAGCCACTATTTTGCTGCAACAGGGACCGGTCCAGTATAATATACGGGAGTTCTGGTGCATTTGTGTACGAACTCCAGCATATTATGCTGGACCTGTATACTTTGCTAACTCCTGTAAAATTTGCGGGAGACTGGAGCACCAGTGCTCCAAACTCCAGTATATTATACTGGACAATTATACTTGCTGGAACTCCCGTAAAATTTGCGGGTGTTCCAGCATAAATTTGCGGGAGTTCTAGCATAGTTATCCTGAAACTCCCGTAAAATTTACGGGAGTTCAAGCATACTTATGCTAGAACTCCCATAAAATTTGCGGGCGTATTTTTCCGGATTTTGAACAGTATTTTCGCTCAGATTTAAAGTGGCTAAATTTCGATGACTTTTGAAACTTGACTATTTTCCAATGACCAGTGGTAAATCTGGCTATTTTTGAATTTCTCCATTGAAAACATGTAAAAAGTCTGACATGATTTATGGATCACAACTCACAACCCAATATAAAAAAATCCCCACTCATAAATTAATAAACAAATATAGTAAAAAACAACAAAAACCAAAATTAAGCAACAATAAAAAGAAAGTTTTAAAAGAAAAAGAGAAAATTAAAGACACTCACAAAACCTACTAGCCATCCTAATCCTAATACAAAAGTACAAATGACGGCCACATTTGCAATA